TGATATGCCGTAAAACAAATAAAACCAAACCAATATATACTGAGATAGATAGATGAAAAATATTACCAGCAATAAAAATTTTGTCGGATAATAAATAACCCATTGAGGTTGATATGTCGTAAAACAAACCAAACCAAACCAATATATACTGAGATAGATAAATGAAAAATATTACCAGCAATAAAAATATTGTCGGCATTAAATAACCCATTGAGGTTGATATGCCGTAAAACAAAACAAACCAAACCAATATATACTGAGATAGATAGATATAAAATATTGCTCGCAATAAAAATCTTGTCGGCATTAAATAACCCATATTGAGGTTGATATGCCGTAAAACAAACAATCGTAAACGATCAGCTCAATGCCTTGTCTAGGACTAAGGGCCCAAAAACATTCCGAAAAGGGAAATTGCACCCACAGAAAATTATGGTGACTTGTGGGGGGGGGTCTGCCATTGCTGTTATCCATTACAGCTTTCTGGAACTGAACTGCTATTTAACATAAATCCTTCAGCAGGGCAGTGAATGCGAGGCAATTACGCCACAGACGAAAAGGTGTGAGCCAACAGACATATGGTTCAACAGAAGGATGCTGATAATATAAGCGGCGGACCATGTGAATAAGGAAGAATATGGGGGCGGGGACTACGAGAATTGTATTTAGAATATTTGGTTAGAAACACGTAGTACCGAATTGTTATGTCATATCCATCCCGTATTGCTTTGAATGCTGAACAATTTCCTCCCAGATGAGGAAGAAGAAACTTGAAACAACAGAGATGTTGCTCTACAGTAGAATACTGAGAATACATTAGAAGGAGTATGTGAGCAAGGAGGAAGTTTTAAGGAAAATGTGAATAAAAAGGGCACTTGTCTTATGATTAGAAAAAAAGAGGACGGAAAATGTGACATCGAAAACCGAAAGTTCATTTGAATAGGGAAAGGTGCCTTTCAAAAGCTAAGCAAAGAAGTAAGAAACATGAACAGTTCGCTAGAAACAAAGTTAAATGTGCTTAACTGTGTCATATCAACCCTCCTATATGGTAGTGAATGAAAGGACAATTCCCAGATGAAGAGGAGAGTTGAGGCAACAGAGAGATGATTCTATAGATGGATACTGAGAATACCATAGACGGAGCATGTAAGCAACGAGGAAGTTTTTAGGGAAATGAAAGCGGAAAGTCCCCTAATTGTTAGAATCAGAAAGAGAAAGAGCGAGAGAGTTGTAACTACATAATGAGGAAAGAAGGCTTGGAAAATCTGAGACGCAGAGGACATATTGAACACAAGAGGATTTCATTTGTTGGGTTTCGTTTGTTTGTTTAACAGCATATCAACCCCTTTGGGTCATTTAATGCCGAATTTTTTTTTTTTTTATTTTGGGAGCTTTTTTATTTTTTTCCAAGAATGTATTGCTAGTATATTTTTTACTATGAAAATGTATTGCTGGTAATTTTAAATTTATTTTTATTATATCTTTATGGTTTGACCCCGGTTTGAGCGTTCACTATTTTCCCATATCTGGAACCCTAATACGTCCTATCATCCTGAGTCAGGGTGGATTTAGGAACAACAGAAATAAAGGTAGTTCCACGCTCCTCGAAACCTCTTGATTCGAGGCTTTGCTGCCGGATGTAGTTTATCATCAAACCCAGGACGAGAACGCATTTGAATAGCGAAAGATGCCTTTCAAAAGTTACTTTGTTTATTAGTAAGAAACATGAACAATTCATTAGAAACAAAGTTAAGTGTACCGAACTGCTATGTAATATCAACCCTCCAATATGGTACTAAATAAACGGACAATTCCATCACAGATGATGAGGATCGTGGCAACAGAGAGGTGATTCTACAGAAGGATAGTGAGAATACCGTGGACGGCGCATGTAAGCAATGAGAAAGTTTTAAGGAAAATAGACACATATTTGGAATCAGAAAAAGATAGTTTAAATTTCTGGGACACATTATGAGAAAAGCAGACTTGGAAAATTTAGCACTCACAAGACATATAGTAGAAATTGGAGCAAAGGGACGTGAAAGAACCATTCCTGCCTCCTATTAGAATGTCTGACGCTCAACTCCACGAGAGTACCTCTTTGCGACTGCTCGGTCTTACATAGTCCGCTGAGCTGAAATGGAACGAATACGTTGAGTCAATAGCTTCGTCCACCGCAAGGAAAGTTGGCTCCCTGTGTCCCGCCAGAAAATTTTTCTCACCGGAATCGATCCTTCAAATCTACAAATCAACCAGTCACCCTTGCATGGAGTATTGCTGCCATATATGGTCTGGAGCCCCTTCTAATTGTCTCAAGGTCCTAGATAAAATCCAAAGACGGATATGCTATGTTGTTGGCCCTGATCTGGCATCTAGTCTGCAGTCGCTCTCTCACAGACGTGCCGTCGCCTCCCTCTGTCTTTTTTACAAATACTTCCACGGTAACTGCTCCAATGAGCTGCTTTCGCTGGTTCCCAAACTTCACGAATTTAAGCGTTCAACTAGGCTGGCATCTCGCTCTCACCCTTTCACTGTTGAAACTATTAAATGTAGCCATCTCTTCTACTCCAATAGCTTCATGTCTCGCACTTCCTGCCTGTGGAACTCCCTTCCCATTTCTTGTTTCCCTTATAGCTATAATCTCCAACTATTCAAATGTAATGTCAATCGACGTCTCCAGATGCTCTGATCTATCCCCTATCCTTCTCTTCATCTTTTCCTCTGTCACTCCTATTTGCTCTCGCTCCAACTCTCTGTAACCCTTTGCGTGCTAGTGGCTTCCCGGCTTGCTTGGGGTTGAAAGCTTAAAAAAAAAGAAAACTTGCTAATATAGTAAAGTTGGAGTAAAGAAACGTTAAAGACAGGAAGTTGTGGAGAGCCATGATCATCCACGTCCTGAAGGGTCAGAACACATAAAAGATAAGTCTGTGTTCAAGCTCAACGAATAATCATGATTTTGAATACTGATTTCAAAACAGCTTCTTGACCCTTCCTACTTGGGACATTGGCGGAACCTAATCTTTCTCGCACTGTTTCCTTACATTTGGTCGGATTTAATGATCTTCTTGTGTGGTTTTAGTCAACGAGTTAGATCATTTATTTGTAGAGTGAGCTGGAATGCCACTGAGTGCCCCATGTTTGTTGACTATTGCCAGCATGAACACATTCAGCCTATTATCCGGAGATTAGAGGATTTTTGGAGTGTGGAACTACCTCATAACAGCGGGGTAGTTGCATCTGTTAGGGTCCCAGCTATGGTTAAATAGTAAACCTACTAAACAAAAAAAATCAACGGTACATTTTTTCCTACTAAAATGACCAACAAAAGAACAATCAAAATATCACTAAAATGTATAAATATACATTTTTATAGTAAAATTACCAGCAATACAGTTTTTATAAAAAGAAACTTGCCAACAATAGATTTTTTATAGCAGAATTACGAAAAAAAAAATTACCCTATACATTTTATAAGCTGCAAATTATATATCTAAATAAAATTGTCCCCAGGTCTACCCTGATCCGGTGAGGTAGCACCTGTTAGGGTTTTATCTATGTGCAAATAAAAATTACCTTATACATTTTATCATCTACAAACTATATATATATATATATATATATATATATATATATATAAACATAAACAGTTGCTGTTGTCCCTGACACTGGGTGCTAGGACCTGTTATTCTCCATCGATGTTCAAATAGAAATTACTATATACATTTTATCATCTTTTAAACTATATATATATATATATATATATATATATATATATATATATATATATATATATTTATATAAAACAGTTACTGTTGTCCCTGATCCTGTGTGGTAGAACCTGTTATGCTCCCATCTATGTGCAAATAGAAATTAACATATACATTTTATCATCTACAAACTATACACACACACACACACACACACACACACACACACACACATACATACACATATATATACATTTACACATACATACATACATTTATTTATTTCTGTAGTTTCCTTCCTGCTACCAGCAAGCAGAAATATTTCTCCTCCCGATGATGGCCATTTTGGTCGAAACTAGTCGAGGAATCTAAATGAAATAATAATAAAAAAAAAACAAAGAATATTAATCTACAACCCAGTGTGTCTAAAGATTTTAATTTTTTAATATTTTTTTATTGTTCAAAAATATATATATATATATATATATATACATATATACATATATACATATATATACATATATATATATATATATATATATATATATATATATATAAATATATATATATATATATAAACAGTTACTATTTGTCACTGACCCGGTGCTGGAATCTGTTTTGCTCCCATCTATGTGCAAATAGAAATTACCATATACATTTTATCATCTACAAACTATCTAAAAACATACACATAGAAAAACATAAAACTGTGTTCAAAATATTTAGATTTCGGCATTAAATAAGCCATAGAGGTTGATATGCTGCTAAATAAAATCATCCAACCAACAATACCTATTTATAGTGAAATTACCAACAATATTTATTTATAGTAAAATGAACAAAAATACATATTTCACGCAAAATGACCATCAGTGCATTTTATCTGTAGTTGAAGAGATACAATTGCTTTCAAAATTTATTCAGTTGAAGCCATAAATTTGTGTTCAAAATATTTAGACTTTGGCATTAAATAATCCATAGAGATGTTGATATGCCACTAAACAAAACCAACCAGCCAACCTACACGCATATTACTCTTCTCGTTGTACTCCCACACGTAAATATATTTTTTATCACCCCACCCCACACCAAGCAGGGTAGTAAAGCCCCCAAGATACAAGGGATTAATAAGTGTGAAAGAATATGAGAAAAATAAAAACAAAAACATTAAGGAGATAGAACAATAAAAAAAAAAAAACAGGAATTAAGAGGACAGAAGATAACGATTTTTATTACAAAAATTCTCACCGAGTGCTCTGTTTCTGTGGCCTTGTACCAGACTAAGATTCAATTATGTCTCTTTCCAGGTCGCACAGACTCATCATCTGTTACATGTCAGCGGGAACCTGGGAAAACTGGCGCCCAGACGCGCACAGTTTTTCGAATGACAGTCTCGGAAATTCTCTGGACAGATGGCCTGGAGAAAGATGGATGGATATCCGTCACCCAGAAGTGAGACGAATCATGTCCAGTCGCATCGAACTTGCTGCCCAGCGTGGATGTGACGGGATCGAACCAGACAACATCGATGGTTACAGCAACGAGAACGGCCTCGGTTTGACAGCTGAAGACCAACTCCACTACAATATTTGGCTCACTATAGGTATAGCAAATGTCTTTCAACTTAGATCAGTCATTATTAATTTGTTTAATTTTTGTTTGTGGGACAATGATTACTTGAGAATTTTATAAATTGGTTATACATACGCCCGAAGAAGGCCGAGGATTGTCTCGGCCGAAATGTCTTAATATCACTAAAACTTATTACAATGATCTGAACAATATATATATATATATATATATATATATATATATATATATATATATATATATATATATATATATTAGGTTGGTGCAAAATAATGACGTAATAATGTCGTTTTTGACGTTAAAAATACGTCAAAAAACGACATTATTACGTCATTTTGCACCAACCTAATATATGCTAATATATGTATGTATGTATGTATGTATGTGTGTGTGTGTGTGTGTGTGTGTGTGTGTGTGTAGGTGTGGTGGGCTTTCCGTCGTATTCGATGTATGAGGGTCAAGCAGATCAGTTCCTAGGAAACCGACAGCCCGACAACAGCACATGAGATTTGATTATAGTGGTGAAGGTTTCGTGCAGGACCATCCAAACTTTTTGAAGGGCCGAATACAGAGACCTGGTGCACTACGTGCCACAAGGTCCCCAAGCAAATGTTCCATAAGGTCTCCAAACGGTCCCCAATATATATATATATATATATATATTGGAGGCACGGTGGAGTAGTGAATAGTTTCTAATTTCGACCATATCTGTCGTCCTCCCCTTCCTCCTTTGTCCATCACCTCACATCAACTTAATACTACCCCTCAAAAGCGTATGTAAATAATACGTAAAGTTAAAACCATTTTTTATGTTTGCAAATGTGATCTGAGTAACTAGGATAAAAGCACCTTCCTGGGGAAATAAAATGTAATCAATTGACCCTTAAGTTTGTTTTTTTAATTTTAATTAAATTAATATTTGCTTTGGTCTGACATTGAGCTCTCTCGATTACATTCTCCTTGGGATTATCCATACGAACTACCAAACTTTCCATTACCTAACTAACTATATATATATATATATATATATATTATGTCATTCGCAGACAGTACTGTTTCGCTGTATCACACCTCCTCAGTGCGACGGATCGAAACCCAACCGATTTCATGTCAGTCAGAACTTCTACCACTGAGAATCACTCGACAGAACGAATCGGCCAAATCTAGCATATTGTTTTTACAAATGTAAACAAACTTCAAGCAGACAAAGTGCTCCATTCATTTTTACTGAAGAGCTTCGCATTTACACAGTTAACCGTTGTTTTTAGAATTAGCTTAGTGTTCAAAAGTGTTCAATTGAAAATATATTTTCAAGAGATAATGATCCAATTAATGCATGCTTCTGGGGTTATTAACACACCAAAAACTGTACATCGTAGCGCAATTTTTGCTGGCGTAGTACCACTAAAATGCCCTTACTTGAAGATTAAATCAAGCTCCAGTTCAAACTAGATATTGTTGTTCCGAGTAAATTTGCTTTAGTTATTTAAATACCATATTTCTTCGGGGCGTAGATTATCACGACTATACACTGACACCCTCTTTCTAATATATGTGAATTTTCATGTATGTTGGGGAAAGTCAGTGAAGTGAATTGACTTTACCTTCTTCACTATTTTCAAATCCTTCTACTAGGCCGACTCCCACCCAAGGCTCTTCCTTACTATTTAACCCGAATGTGAGGAGACTGATGATATCGATTCATATATTTCCCGAAAGGCATAAGTGAGAAATGAACTCACTAGATCAGAATTGGAATTCGGTTTCCCGATTCCAGTTTCTGTGCCAATAATAACTTGACAAAATATCTCTGTCCAAGGGAGATAACTTTAAGGAAAAATATGTCTATACAAGGAAAATAGCATCAGTTTTATTGACTACTAATTAAAGATTTGGTTGTGATTTTTTGAAAATCATAGGAATACGTACGAAATGAGCATTGATCTGTCTGCATTCTTTTCTGTCAGCCATAGTGGTATCCCAGGGAAGACACTTTAATAATATTAATGATTAGCATTTAGAAATAAACATAACATAAACTTTATAGAAAAGAAATCAGCTGACAGCGATTAAAGCCATCAAAAGCGGCGTTTAAACAAAGATAAAATATTGAAAGATGTTCTGTCCAGATCTCGTAAAACTAGCGGAAGACTAGTCAGTTAAATCAGTTAACCCAAGGCAAGGCGATAAAGCCAATAACACTCAAAGAGTTACCGAAGATCAAAGACAATAGAGAAGTGGTTCCCAACTGATTTGTAGCCATGCCCCACTTTGGTATTTCTAAAATTTTTGTGCCCCCCCCCCGTAATATTTAATTCTTACATATTCAAAATTTTACTGCAATTCACGTGAAGGAAGCTTAAAAGGCCATTAACTTGGTCTCTAAACAAATCTCCAAAGACTATGGCGTCCATGAAAGAGAAAAATTTTAAAAAACGAAAAGACAGTTAAATATAAATAGTTTCAAAACTTATAATAAAGAACTGAAAGGCAGAAATATAAAATATTTGAATGAAATCTTATTCTGTAATATACTTTGATCATTTTAATCATGAAATAATAATGCAAAATGAAATTTGAGCTCATCACAAAATGACTGTTAATGAAATCCTTATGCGTCATGCCTGCTACAGATAGATTTTATATTAGGCACCAATTTAGTCAGCTTAAACCTCAAGTCTCCTCATTTAGTGATATCCAGTTGATTTCTTTTCTTCAGTAACAAATCATTTACAACACTAAAGCCACATTCAGCTAAATACGAAGATGGAAATGGTAACAATAAATTTCTTGCAACGATGGTTGAATTTGTGCATTTCGTTAGTTTCATAAAGTTATGCCATCACTCCTTTTAAATTGAATAATGTTTTAACTGACGTATCATTTTGCATCTCCAAGATTTCTTCTTAGTACTGCATCGAAACATCAGAAATATCCACTAGCATTTGCTGTATCATCCATGTTGGCATCCATGAAGGAGAAAAATTAAAAATAAAACCAAAAAGACCGTTAAATATATATAGTTTCAAATCTTATAATACAGAACTGAAAGGCATAAGTATAAAATATTTGAATGGAAACTTATTCTGTAATATACTTTGATCATTTTAATCATGAAATAATAATGCAAAATGAAATTTGAGCCGAAGATATATAAGCCGAAGGGTGCACATCCTACGCATCCCCACCAAAATATTACCAATAAACACCGGTAGCGCATGCGCCCCACGTTGGAAATCATTGCAATAGAGTAAAGAAAAATAAAAAAAATAACGTACTGATAAAGGCCAATCAAAATACGATTCCAAAAGTCATATTTTTTTTTAAAAATTTAAAGAGATTTCCCAATTTTTGTCGGATTCTGATCTAAATATTAATTAAATATATATATTTTTAATTGGTATCATCCCATGCAAGGCAATAAAGCCACCAAGACTCAAGGGATTACTAGATGTGGAAGAATTAGGAACAGAAACATTAATAAGGAGCGGGCAGCAGAAAAAGTAGTCAGGAGCACAGTAGATTTAAAATTTTGTTGGCTGGAAAGCATGGAGCCGGAAAGGAGTTCCACGAGCGAGAAGTGCGAGAAAGAAACTGTTAGCATAGAATTTATGGTTACATCTAGCCAACTCAACTGTAAATTGATGAGATTTCAACGCCAGTCTAACTTAACTTAATTTGAACTTAAATTCAAAAAAGTTCAGGTACAATAACAAAGATCTCATCCGAACGATTACCATGAATGTATTTACAGAGAAGACACAGAGAGGCAACCTTAGGGCGTTGAGAAAGTGACTAAAGCCGAGCCGCCATATCAGGACCATTAATATTGCTGATTCTTCTCTGGATCTTACCAAGGAGCTCAAGGTAAATAGTAGGAGCAATGGACGATATGTGACAGCAATATTCTAAGCATGGACTAATGATAGACTATAAGTCTACCATTCGTCCATGCTTAGAATACATGCTTAGAATACATGCTTAGAATACATGCTAACATTCGTCCATGCTTAGATACGTATGAGAGATTCTGGAGAGGGAACCAAATTTCTTAACAACTGACTTGGCAATGGATTCATTATAGTCTTTCCACTTCATGTCAGCTGAGAACATTAGCTGAGTAGGCAAAACAAGTCACTCTCCTGGATAGAAAGGAGAAAAAGGTCTCTCAGATGATTTAGATGAGCCGCCATATCAGGACCAATAATATTGCTGATCTTCTTTGGATAAATTGCAGAGGCACTTGATCATATATGGAAGCAATATTCTAAGCATGGACGAATGGTAGATTTATAGATACGTATGAGAGATTCTGGAGAGGGAACCAAATTTCTTAGCAGCTGACCTGGCAATGGATTCAACATAGTCTTTTCACTTCATGTCAGCTGAGAACATTAGCTGAGTAGGCACAACAAGTCACTCTCCTGGATAGAAGGCAGAAAAAGATCTCTCAGTTGATTAGATGAACCGCCAGATCAGGACCAATAATATTGCTGATTTTTCTTTGGATCTTACCAGGAAGCTCAAGGTAAATAGGAAGGCCACCGGACCATATTTGGTAGCAATATTCTAAGCATGGACGAATAGTGGACATAGATATATAAGATAGATTCTAGAGCGAAAATATACTTTTAATTCATTTTTAAATTTGACCCCCAAAAATGAACTTGCAGTATATCTGGTTGGCGACCCAGGCTTTAGATATGCGAATTTCCACATCCTGTTCGCCAGAATTTCTTTCGTTTCCTTAATATGTAAAGGACTCGACATATTTTATTGATTCAACTGAGATTGATTGCATTGACCATTGCTGGTTGAAGCATATGAATTCAATTTTAGAGGCATTGACATACAGTCTAACACACCAAAAGATGATTAGTGGTAAAGTTTTCATTTAAAGGGTTTTATGAAGAATCAATTTTTTTAGAGGGGTCAATAGACTGATTTAAATCCCTTGAAGGAAGCAAAAGGAAAGGATTATCCACTCCTTCTTAAGGATTAAGGAATTTAGCA